TTGGATTTCATTAATTGTAATTCACAAGACACACACACACACACACACACACACACACACACACACACACATATATATATATATATATATATATATATATATATATATATATATATATATATATGCAGAATGAGTATGAATTAAGAAGAAATGTCAACGCACCTTCCAATTTCAAATTAAGCAATCATCAAGCTCATAGATGTTCGCCTAAGTGTGAAACTGGATGTCAAAACTTAAATTTTTCTCATTTATTCATTTCTCTTCATGACATTGAGCGTTGTTTTAGAATTTTTTTGTCTCATGTTATTTTTACTATAGCAATGAATCGGATAGCGATTTCTTAGATGGCGATGAAGACAGTGACAACAATGATTTTGTTTTTAGATCAAATTGTTCCTTATTTCATGGGCACCATTTTCTTTCTCTAAGAGGAACGCATTATACAATGTCCTGCCCAGTTCATTATATCCAAACATAATTCTGAACGTGCCGGAATTTAAATTGTCCTTAACCCTAGAACAATAATCAACAATTAAAGTTACCCCACTACTAACCATAGGTATATCATACCCGATTTTGAAAATATCAAAAAAATATTAAATATAAATCTTTATTTGAAATTATTTTCATGCAGGCACTTCAAACTTTTTACTTTCAGTTAATATTAATAGGAACTGAAAAACATATTATTTAGGTAAGAAAATTAGGTACTGAAAATTGTAATTAAAAATAGGAAAAATTGCGCTGGGTACTATGGGTACCCAAGGTTAGTGTTCTAGGTTTAATAAAAAGCTATAGGCGTCAACAGTTTTACTTTCCCATCATTCAACCGTCCCACATATCCCTATACACCGTATCTGATTACTCTGTATCCCACTACCTCGAGTGGCTCTTGGGCCCTATACAGGTTGATTACCATTGTAAAAAATAGGAAGAAAAAGAAAAAAAGAACTCTATAAATCCAATTAAATTCGTGGAATTGCAACAAGCGAAGGTTATTCGTTTTTTTTTTCTCTCTCATTCTGAAATAGTTTCTTACAAGCAGTTAGTGAATGTCATTGCAAAAAGCTAGCTGCTCCATGTCGGACGGTTGGTGAGGTCACGGGACTGTGGGGCGAGAAGAGTTAGGAGGCCTTGAAAGGCAACACTGTCACGACATGCGTGGCGGGGTTGGTAAAGGAATCTGATCGTAGCAGTGTGATATTTCGGCTAAATGCCCGTTATTACGCCGATGTTTTTGTGTCGCGAGATGTCGTAATCGGCGTGTTTATGTCTGGCCACCCAAGTGCCACACCCAGCGGAAATTCGCAGTGTTACGTTGCTATGGTTACATGGACGAAGATAACGAATTTCGGAATCAAATGACACGAGACCCGGTTTTTATTTTTCGGATGCTGACAGCGGAAACGAATGATGTCTCTGGACTGCAAAATAGTTCAGCATAGTCGATAAAGATATCTGAGTGAACGAAAGTCGCTCAGCTGACAAATGTAATAGAAATATTTAATGACTATTATTATTTATATTAATATAACATAATACCGGTGTTGTTATCGCTGGCTAATCTAGGACCAAATTTAAGAATTTTTTATTTTTTAAAATTTTTTAATCAATTCATCCCAAGAAAGGAGATAAAGCCACTAAGACGCAATGGGCCATTCGGAAACTAATCTTAAACAGAGAACAAGAGACAAATTTTCTTCCTGTTAAAAAACCCGTGGAGGAGCGTGTACCCGACGATAGGCAAACCTATCTACGCTTGTTAAGGAGAAAAATAATTAGTAAATAAAATTCCAGAGTCCAGTCGGAGACGTTAGAAGTATAGAGTTGAAGTAGACTTTAGAAGGAACCGGAAACCCAATCCTAAACAGGAAACAAGGGATAAACCTCTACTCCTATTCAAAAAACCTATCTACTCCTACCGAAGGAAGAAAATAAATAACATTTCAGAGTTTAGGCAGAGACGTTAGAAGTATAGAGTTGAAGTAGACTTTAGAAGGAACCGGAAACCCAATCCTAAACAGGAAACAAGGGATAAACCTCTACCCTATTCAAAAACCTATCTACTCCTACCGAAGGAAGAAAATAAATAACATTTCAGCAGAGACGTTAGAAGCAGAGTTGAGAGACGTTAGAAGAATAGAAACCCAATTGAAGGGAGACTTTAAAGGAAAATAAATAACATTTCAGAGTTTAGGCAAGACGTTAGAAGTCCTAAACAATCCTAAACAGGAAACAAGTGTTAAACCTCTACTACTGTTCAAAAGACGGGGAAGATTGAAACGGTGGAGACATAGTGAGGAAAGAATGCTTGGTGAATTTAATCTTAATAATAATTAGTCAATAAAATGTCAGCGTTCAGACGAAGACTTTAGAAATATAGAATTGAAGTAGACTTCAGAAGGAACCGAAAACCTAATCTTAAATAGATGAACCTATTTAGTCCACGCTATAAAGGATAGGACGTTGTGGCGAGCCATCATCGTCCACGTCCTGATAGTCACATAAAAAGAAGGTTTCTTGGAATAAGTATGGTGATTTTAACGCTCTGTGGTTTGTTTAGGATGATACAAGATGAATATAAATAATAAAGGAAGACGCTAGTTTAGATAGACAAGGGAGCATATAAGAGACGAAGTGGCAACTGGCAGACGAGTGCGGGGAGGAACATGAATATTTTTCGACACTTGTGTGTTGGGGTAACTGATGTTGGCGCCTCAAGGTGGGAAAAGATATAAAGACAAGATGGCGTCTCACTTGAGTAGCACTTAGTGACATGAATACAGAAGGAAGTTGAAATGGATGAGCTTGTATTGAAAGGAGGGATATGTTGAACCTTGTTTCAATTTTTACCTTCAGAAGCATACATTCATTTATAGGAATGTAAACGTGCCTGAACATATCAATCTAAGCCTGCTCAAATACATTTATCAATCTATTCATCTATCTTAATCTGTTCATATCTATCTATCTATCTATCTATCTATCTATCTATCTATCTATCTATCTATCTCAGTCTGTTTCTTTCTTTCTTTCTTTCTATCTATCTCAGTCTGTTCATATCTATCTATCTATCTATCTATCTATCCATCTATCTATCTATCACAGTCTGTTCATGTCTATCTCAATCTTTTCATATCTATCTATCTATCTATCTATCTATCTATCTATCTCTATCTATCTATCTATCTCAGTCTGTTTATATCTATCTATCTCAATCTTTTCACATCTATCTATCTATCCATCTATCTATCTTAATCTGTTCATATCTATCACATTCATTTCATATCTATCTATCTATCTAGCTAGCTAGCTAGCTCAATCTGTTTACATCTATCTATACATCTATCTTAATCTGTTCATATCTATCTATCTATCTATCTATCTATCTATCTATCTATCTATCTATCTCAATCTGTTTACATCTATCTATCTATCCATCTATCTATCTTAATCTGTTCATATCTATCTATCTATCTATCCATCTATCTATCTATCTTAGTCTGTTCATGTCTATCTCAATCTTTTCATATCTATCTATCTATCTCAATCTGTTCATATCTATCTATCTATCTATCTATCTATCTATCTATCTATCTATCTATCTATCTATCTTAGTCTGTTCATGTCTATCTCAATCTGTTCATATCTATCTATCTATCTCAATCTGTTCATATCTATCTATCTATCTATCTATCTATCTATCTATCTATCTATCTATCTATCTATGTCAATCTCTTCATATCTATCTACCTCTATTACTTTTCGACTCTCTTTACTGATAGTTTCTTGTTTATTTTGTCTTTGCGTATTTGAATTGGTAAAGAACTTCTCTGATAAATTATTCTTGATATCTTGTGTGTTCACTTCTCACAGGACTCCCCACAACTCTGGCCTCATGTCAAACCAGCCTAAACTAACCTAATAAATACCATTAGGATTTCCTACCAAGTATGTCAGGTCGATCATTATTGAAGTTCCAAATCTTAGTATTGCTCGGTTATTTCTCGCCCCCACCCCTTTTGCACTGAGGCAAATGCACACTGCCTATGGACAGCGATACGACAGCAGTTTATCCCCGTTCAGAATTCACTGTGACTTATCCAGATCGAGATACTCCTGAAGAAGACCGGGTCGCACAACGGTCGAAACACTGTGATAACAACAACAAAGATGAGGACAATAGTCCGAATATAAATAATGTAAATAATCCCAGAAATTCAGACAGAAACTAAGAGTGTATGTTTCGCCCCGGAGCCGAAGGTCGGTGTTCAAATCCAGGTATAAGTGGGCATTCCAAATGCTGATTTAAGAGGCATGCAGGCTGTAAATGGCTGACGCACCACAATTTTTCTTTATATAATTGTCTCCTTTTCGTTTTGTCTTAAATTAAACTTAGTGAAGTGGTTTTATTGCGTATCTCAGTTTGAAAAATATCAATTCAGCAATAAAAAAATAAAGTACTTAAATATTGAATATCGTTAAAAAATAGATAGATATGAAAAATCTGAGATAGATAGATAGGAACAGTCCATGATAGATAGATAGATAGATAGATAAATAGATAGATAGATAGATAGATAGATAGATATTAACATACCGTGATAGATAGATAGATAGATAGATAGATAGATAGATAGATAGATAGATATGAACAGAATTTGAACGGACTGAGAAGGATAGGTCGATAGATAGATAAATCGATGTGAACAGACAGAGATAAATACATATGAAGAAGACTGAAATAGACAGATATGAACAGAATCTATCTCAGTCTGTTCAGAGATAGATAGATAGATAGATATGAACAAACCGTGACAGATAGATAGATAGATAGATAGATAGATAGATAGATAGATAGGAACAGATAGATGATAGAAAGATATGAACAGACTGTTATAGATAGATAGATAGATAGATAGATAGATAGATAGATAGATCGATAGATAGATAGATAGATAGATAGATATTAACATACCGTGATAGATAGGTAGATAGATAGATATTAACAGAATTTGAACGGACTGAGAAGGATAGGTCGATAGATAGATAAATCGATATGAACAGACTGAGATAAATACATATGAAGAAGACTGAAATACATAGACACATATGAACAGAATCTATCTCAGTCTGTCCAGAGATAGACAGATAGATAAATAAAAAGATAGATAGATAGATATGAACAGACTGAGATAGATAGATAGATAGATAGATAGATAGATAGATAGATAGATAGATAGATAGATATGAAGAGTGACATAGATTGATAGATAGATATGAACAGACTGAGATAGATAGAGATGAACAGAGTGAGATAGATAGATAGATAGATATGAACAAGGTGAGATAGATAGATAGATAGATAGATATGAACAGAGTGAGATAGATAGATAGATAGATAGATAGATAGATAGATAGATAGATATCGTTTAAAACAAAAACTGTTCTTATATTCTTTCCTCTGACATCTTCCAGTCTTGTCCACGTCGTCCACCTTTCATTTCTCTCTCACGGATTCTATCAATTATTTACAGTTTTGCGGATGTGTATCGCAGACATTTTCCAAACCGATAGTTGTAATATTATTTTGCGTTGGAGTTATCGCTTCTCCTAAAGTTTACGTCTTATTGGCACGTTTTGATAACATTTAAACGGGTTGTAAATTGTTCAGTTGTATTTTGATTATGACAAAGATACATCAAATAGAAACCCATGATAAACCTACAGACAAGTTTTGTATCATTCGTGTGGTCAGTGGACGAGCCGTTGACGTCACACATTAAAGGCTGTCACCTGATCAGGCTGTCCCGGAAAACGTTGTTGTAAATGACATTTATATGCAAAATATGTTGAAAGCGGTCAACAGGTTAAAAATCACAGTTAATAATAAAATACAGTCTGTAGCTATTCGGTTGAGTTATAAATAATTTCCGTTTTCTTTTTAATCATTTTAGCCCCAATAATGCATCGATGACGAAGAATTTAGTGAGGACAAAGGACAATGAATGAACAGCAAGACTACCACATAGGAAGAAAATACTGACATCGAGGTTCGAGCGTGACACTCTGTACTTATGAATCTGTTTTTCTCCGGGTGTGTAAATAGCGATGTCAGGCTACTGACTGGAGTGATTATTGAGTGACGACTGAGTGGAACTATCCAGTCGAATTAGTGTGAATTATTGTGCGTCGATGATTTGGGTTTTGATTTAGGGTTTGCCGGGCATTAATCCGAGCCGTGCTACTAACAAGGTATTCATTGAAATAGTTAATTAACTTTGGTTAACTTTTAATTCTTTGTCTTGATAAGTGTTTATTTGCAGTTGTAAGTAAATACTCTTTCTTTAACATTGAAATCTTGAGTTATAATTAATTATTAACAGCCACCATACGTCACAAAAGATAGATAGATAGATAGTGTCACATAGGAAGAAAATGTGTAACTACTGACACCGAGGTTTGTGCGTGACACTCTATACTTATGAATATATGTTTTCTGGCATGTGCATAAATAACAGTGTCAGGCTACTGACTGCGGTGATTATTGAGTGGAACTATCCAGTCGAATTAGTGTGAATTATTGTGCGTCGATGATTTTGTTTTTGATTTAGGATTGACCGGATGTTAAACCGAGCCGCGCGACTAACAAGGTATTCACTGAAATGGTTAATTATCTTTGGCAGACTTTCACTTCTTTATTCTTGTTAAGTATTTATTTGCAGTTGTAATTGTTATGGTCCGGTTCCTTGTACCACAGGTAGAACCAATAAAGAAAAACTCGAACACGTATATGGAATAACACAGACATATTACAAACAGGAATATATACAGAGAAGTAGAAAGTGTTAGTACGAACAATCAGGTTTAGTAGTGATTGTCTGAACGCGACTCTGTTTCGGACTGCCTCTGACTCAACTGACTGACTCGTTCGCTCTGACTGACTGACAGACTCCTAACGGACTTCTGACGGACCTCACTTCAGACTGAACGATATCTACTCAAACCCCCACGAGAGCATCATGTGGCACAAGGCCGGTTTAACGTGGGATCTCCGAGCCCGTGGGCTCGGCCAAAAATATGCCCATTGAACCCGTATAAACGGGTTCAGGGTCGGTTTACCTCCCCGAAAGAGACTCCGCCTTTCGGCGTAGCCTCGTTCGGGTTCCTCCCCGCCCGAAGGCAGAGAGTTCAACCGATCAGCCGATCAGCCGGTTGCTCGACTTCAGACGGAACTCCCTGCTTCCTCTTGAGGCGCAGTATTTATTACGTATGGAATAGTCCATTATGTTATTATGGGTAAGGTCCCGTAACAGTAATTAAATACTGTTTTATTTTAACATTGAAGTCTTGAGTTATACTTAATTACTAACGGCCATCGTACATCACAAAAGATATATAGAATTGAAGGGATTGAGACAGACAGACAGACAGATAGATAGATAGATAGATAGATAGATAGATATGAAAAGATTGTGATAAATGGGAAGATAGGTACATATGAAATAACACATAAATAGATGAATAGAAAATGTAATTAGATAGGTAGATAGATTGTGTCAACCAGGAAGAAAATGAGGTTCGATCGTGACACTCTGGACTTATGAATATATGTTCTCTGCCAGGTGTATAAATAGTTAAGTCAGGCTACTGATTGGAATAATTCTTGAGTGACTATTGAGTGGAACTATCCAGTCGAATTAGTGTGAATTATTTTGCGTCGATGTTTTAGGTCTTGATTTAGGATTTACCGGACGTTAAGCCAAGCCGCGCTACTAACAAATTATTCACTGAAATAGTTAATTTTAGTTGAGTTTTACTTCTTTGTTCTTGTTAAATATTTATTTGAGGTTGTAATTAAAATACTGTTTTATTTAACATTGAAGTCTGAGTTATACTTAATTATTAACGGCCACCGTACGCCACAAAAGATAGCTGGATTTTTTTAAGTATATCACCCCAAGCAAGACGGGAGTACCACTAGCATACAAGGGGTTATAGAGAGTGAAAGTAAGAGAAAAGAGGGATGAGTGAGGAAAGGATTAGAGTTAGTAGTTTTATCATATCGGAAGAAAATGAGTAGCTACTGACACCGAGGTTCGAGCCTGACACTCTGTACTTATGAATATATGTTTTCAGCCAGGTGTATAAATAGTGGTGTCAGGCTACTGACTGGAGTGACTATTGAGTGGAACTATACTTAATTATTAACGGACACCGTACGTCACAAAAAGACAGAAAATGGCGAATGATGCTGCGTTTAAATTTTTGAAGGTCGGTAAGAAAAAGGAGAATAATTTCACAAGCGAGAAGTGCAATAGAAGAAACTGTTAGCATAGAACTTACGGTTACATCTAACCATCTAAACTGTAAGATGATGAGACCTAGCTGCCAATCTAGTACTCCGCTTAAATTCATAAAGTCTAGGTATTAGAATAGTTACCATGAAAATATTTATAGTAAAAGCACAGAGAATGTCGGCGAGAAAGGGACTGAAACCAGGACCAATAACATTGCAGATTCTTCTTTAGATTTTATCGAGAATCTCTAAATAATTAAAAGAAGCACCAGATCAAAGATATGACCGCAATATTCAATGAATAGACAAATAGTAGACTTATACACGTGTAAGATAGATTTTAACGTGAAAAATTGACACTTCTTCGACAAATACAAGGCCCAAGAGCTACTCAAGGTAGAGGGTTAATATATGAGCTTGTATCAGCGTAAGAAAGAAGTGAAGTTCTTGGGGGCTATGCAGGAAAGATAAAAGCTAACAGCTTCAAGAGGTCATGATTTAATTAGCGAATGACACTTCAAAGTTCATTCAAAGACCTTAGAAGTATAGTGTGGAAGTAGACTTTGGAAGAAACCGGAAACCCAATTCTAAACAAGAAACAAGGGATAAACCTCTACTCCTGTTCAAAAAACCTATCAACTTCTATTGAAGGAAGAAAATAAATAAATAACATTTCAGAGTTTAGGCGGAGACGTTAGAAGTATAGAGTTGAAGTAGACTTTAGATGGAACCGGAAACCCAATCCTAAACAGGAAACAAGGGATAAACCTCTACCCCTGTTCAAAAAACCTATCTACTTCTACTGAAGGAAGAAAATAAATAAATAACATTTCAGAGTTAAGGCGGAGACGTTAGAAGTATAGAGTTGAAGTAGACTTTAGAAGGAACCGGAAACCCAATCCTAATCTGGAAACGAGAGATAAACCTATTCAAAAACTGTGGAGGAATGTGAACCGGACGATAGGCGAACCTATCTACTGTCGTTAGAGTAGTTTTCACAGTGGAGGCTTGTATTTCACTAAGTCGGTCCTAAATTAGGTTCGACGTACAAAACGTTAGGAATTTGAAATAATAGTTAATGACGCAGCAATCTAGTTGTGGTGGTTGATACTTTAATGTCCGACATCGACTGACTCATCAACCTCCTCAGCCCCCCCTGGCGACTGCTACTACTACTACTATTTATTATATCTGGGAGAGTGTATTAACAATAGAATAGGTATGTTCCGGTATAAAATCTACTCAACTTGAGTCAATTTAATCTTTCTACTTTATGCCATCGGAAAACGTAAAAAGAGCTTCACAAGCAAGAAGTGCGAGAAAAAGAAGCGGTTAGAATAGAACTTAACAGTTAGGGTCTTGCTATTTCAACAATAAAACAATGAGGCCTAGTCATCTATCTCTTTATCTTATTTCCTGTGGGATGACTTATTAAACAGGTCAATGTCTGGTCCTTACCTCCTCTTCCTTACTCTTAAATATCTTAATAAAAATAGATTTTTAAAGTTATTCCTATCTCTCCCTTACATCTCTAATTTCGACCATATATGTCATACTCCACCTCCCCCTCTCTCTATGTATCACCTTACATCAACTAAAAGCTACCCCTCAAAGTTGTATAAGAACGATATATAAATTTACAACATTTTTTCACGCTTGGAAGTCTGGTCTGATGAACCAGGTAAAAACAATATACCTGGG